AGTGGCGTACAACAGTTACCTACCATCTGCCAAAGCAAATTCGACATCGTGTATCTGAGCTCATTGCCTCTCTCCTGTGGGTACCTCCAGGTCCTGATTTGGACGGACGTGGGAAGTAGCGCGTTGTGTGATCGTCCAGAACCGCATTAATTGAGATTGGAATATAGTCCTTGACCGGCGAATCCGACTAGTCCAACCAACGGTAAGGGATATGTCTAGTGTGCAGCTGCCTCGCTGACGAACCCGGGGTTGATAGCTAGTGCGGGCGTACCTCAAGGAAGACATGGACAAAGGACCATCCATCAGCTTGCTTAGATATGCAGAGAGCGTTCAAGGCGATTCTGGCGCGTCCCAACGAGCATTACTTGAGCGGCGTGACTCGTAATCGCCGGTTAAAGTACTGCAAGGCCAAAGCCGATGCCTATCGCTGCATCCTCACCACTCACAAGAATGTTAGGCTTGATATATACTGGTAAGTGCATGTCGTCTTGAGTGCAATTGCGCCGCTTACACCGCGGAAGTCTCCTTGACCAATAGCTATATCATGCAGGTATGTTAATTTGCGGGTATGTCGATAATCTAAATGTTGTGAGAAGACAGTCCGGAGTATGCATGCACTCACCCATTTATTGGTCAGACTTAAACTCCATGTACGATTAGGATCTGCGTCGCCATTCTTCAACTTTCCCTGTTTGGATGATAGGCCATGATACGAGTCTTGTACTGTCACTTCGAGCAGTCGGACTACGTTCTCATGCTACGCATGTAAGTGCGCTATTATTTCCAAGTAGAATTCTTGACCCTCTGGCGAGCTTCCTCGCCCTTCGAAGCTGTAGCTTTGGACACACCCGCGAGCCCGTTTGATAAGCCTGGCCCTCGCCCGTAGAAGACTTCAGATATTCTTCAAAGCAGCATCGACCTTCCCGGAGACTCGCCTCGGCGAGTTTCGGCCCCGCCGCGAATGGCGGTGCCGCTCGACAGGATCTTTAAAAGCAAGTCTGCGGCCAACCCAATGAATTCACATAACTGACTATAGTCAAATACACTCTGCTCAATATCGTTGCGGACAGAGTTGAGCTGCATGTGGACCTGTGCTACCTGATCGTCGACGGCATCAGAGCTGGAATTCTTCGTGGACCTCTCCAACCTCGGCTCGAACACTTTCGTATTCTAGCGTGACCCGATCGCAATACCCAAAGAGCACTGAGAACGCGTCAGATCGATAGTGAACAGCGCTCTCTGGTTCGCAGGTCTATAGTCAGTTTGCGACTTCTGTCATTGCCCTACCAGCATCTACTAACTAGAAAGATCTTTGGGTCTACTCCAGCGTTAGCTTCTTGCGTCAGCTCATTAAACTGGCGACGAAAGAAGTTCCTACTGCGCGGCCTGATACCCTTCGTGCTCGGCAAGCATGAGTTAAGTCCGGCGCACTCTGTGGTTCGCGCAACGTGGCTGGAGACTACGCGAGCGCGAAGAAGGCGCTGTCGAGAGAGCTCTCTTGGACACTGTCGCTCTCATCTGTTTACCTTTTGCACCATCGCACAGGTTGCGCTCAAGACAAAGAGTGTATTATGCATCACATCCCCGGCGAAGGATTGTTTTACCGCCCGTGCTGTAACTGAGAATTCCACATTCCTTACCTTGATCTAGCCGTGCTTGAAATCTGTCCCTCCTTAACACGTACGTAGTAATTGGATATTCAGGTTGCATACCACGTAATAACGCATTCGTTCATCTCCCGCAAGCAGTGCGAAGAACGCTAGTTCGACTTTCTTCGAAAGTTGACACCGTGTCCGCCGTCATGTGTGGGAGGTAATTAATCCAATTATGTGAGATCTTGTACACCCAACGAGCAATAGAGATCGCTATATTCGTCCCTGACTACGACCAGCTTTTCCATTGAACGTCGGCGGCCGCAAGAGAAGCGAGCGCCTGAGAGCCATCTGTCAGCCGTGCTTTGCAAACAACAAGGACAGCGGTGCTCTCTGTCGTTAACCCTGAACATGCAAAAGAGAGAACAAAAGCAGAGTCAGGTACGAACTTTACGTTGAATAAACAATGCCGTATAACCGTGCATGGGCTGTTTGAACCTGTGCAAAGCTCAACAATAGTGCAGCCCGCCACGGAGAGGATGTATCTATGCGATCGATAAAGGCGCAATCGCAGCTCAAAAATCCAGTGGGATGCACTGGCAGGGACTTCTGATTTCGGGTGATCCATTCACGCAAGGTTTGGCACACTGAGAGTCGCTGTCGGCTAAGCGTATGGTATCGTACATGCAGGGATAGATTTCCCACAGGGGCCGTGTCTGTTCACAAGTTCTCCGAACTGCGTGCTGAGTTATGGGTCAGCTGGACTGCAGCATCTATCATCGAAGCATGATTCGTGTGTGCGAGGTTACGGAGTGTGGTCGCACGAGGCAACAGAAAGCCATGAGAACACGTGTGGCCAGGCCAAGAGAGCAACCCTCGAATTATGCGACAGCCGTAACCCGGCAGACGCGTAAGGGTTAGGCTATCGAGACGCAAGATGATGCGGAGCATGTGGACCAAATGATTGGAAGATATATCGTGCTCACCGTGCTCTCAAGGAGGCAGGAACTTTACAGTAGAAGCGTGTGTAATTATCCGGGTCCAGATGTCATCTATGATACCAACCAAATATGTAGAAGCAAGCTGCACAGAAGATAGAGGCAGAAGTTCTTGATAAAATGCTTCGCCTAGGTTATGTGCACGTTTTACTTTTGCCAATAGCTTGCGGCGAATAAAAACTCCACTGGCAGGTGACCGCGCAGCATGAGGGGTAGTAACACGACGTAAACTCATGCTGCCTGCGGCACATGTTCATGGCATAGAGAGTGGGAGATTAAGCCGGAATCACGTATTTTGACGTATACTAGTATAGTGTAATTGCTAAAATCCCCGGGCTTCGGCCCGCGAGGTGTTAGCACTCCGGCTGTTGACGACGGGCAAATGGTGACAAAATCCACGCTCGCTTGGCTCTTCCCTTCCAAATATTCCAACAGATTTGACTTACCAGGCTATGCGATGTACCAGCAGCTGTCTGTGCCAGTGCTGAGGGCTCACGGCGTCAGGCATGCTTATTCTGGCCGTCGCTGTTGATCCAAGTGCTGTGCGCTATGGTATAATTGAAACAAAACCGCAATTTCAATGCGATCTGTATGAAATCTATAAGCAAATTCTTCGGGCTAATATCAACGAATTTACGCAGGAAGAGCAATGCAGATGTGCCATGGACCAAGTTCAAAGCAAGCTCAAAGCGAGCGGGAGAGCGAGCGCTTAATGCCATCGTGGCGCCTCGGCTTTCTCCCGATGCCATCAAGACGCTCAAAGCGCCGCCAGGCACCTGGTGTTCGTTCATCTTGCTTTGTGCGCTCTGCTAATCGTGCCTCTTTGCTTCGTCGATCTCCCTGCCTTTCTCGCGCGAGCATATTTATTGCACGAAATGCATCATTTAACTGCACAGGATACATTTGCATTAGCAGGCCAGTATGTCAAGACATGCTCAGCCCGTCGTACACCGGGGTGCGCGCTAGTGTCCTGTCTCGGACTTTTGACGTAAAACTTCGCCGTCGCTCTCTTAAGGCTAGCCACGAACCTGGCCAGGACGCTTGGAATACCATACGACCAATGTCGCAGTCTAGCTTGGTAGACTGGTGAACGTATGTTTTGTGCGTAGCAAAGACGGCAGCCGCAGCTTGTGCTTGGCCCTAGATATACGTGTTGCACTCGTGCGGTGATATGGTGTTGAGCACGTGTAAATAGATTGAAGCTGGGGCTGCAACAGCCCCCGATGCCACGAAGAAGCGGAGGCCCATCATGTTGGGATGCCTGTGCTTAGCGCGATCTGTATCTTCTCTTCCAGTATACGGGCTAGTAGAGAAATTGAGCATGTAACCGGTACAGCACAGGAAGTGATCGCGTACCTCGACGTTCGCTGAATTTCAGACGGGCCTGAGGGGTAGCCAAAAGGGTTTGAGATGTTCTCTGCATTTGCACATGTAGTTCAGACGTTCGATCGGGATTAACAAGCGTATTGCGCACCAGAAAATTTGCGTTGAGCTGTTTGACTCGGGATGAGAGGTCTGTAATGGAATCGTACAGCTCTAATCCAGTTTTTGACAGCATTGTCCAGGAACCGTATTCCAAGTACTCCGCCTTGTATTCACGGTAGTCGTGTTCGCAGCTGTGACCGAATAAGCACATCGATCTTCGTTGCGAGGGGTAGTAGACGCACCTATCGAGCTCCTCTTTCAAGTGCATCATGTTCATTACCCTGTCCGTCTTTGAGACAGACAGATATACATTTAGCTCGTTCTGCTTAGCCTCCAACTCTTTTAGGCCATCCTTGATCTCGTCAAGCCTCTGCTTCATGTCCAAAAACAAGGCATCCGGGCTATTCACCGTCAGTCGCAGAAATGCAACACCCGTCTCCACTGCTGAGGTGGCCGCGTAGGTGAAGGCTGTCAGGCCCAGTCCGAGGAGAGCGGTCTCCACTAGTCGGTTGGTCGGCATAGCCCTCCTTCAGTCGACGGATCCTGGGACGCAAGATGTCGCCGTTCCAAATTCGCAGGTAACCCGTAGGGTATAGTTTGGGGAGGTCTGTGAGACGTGGCTTGCTATCGTGGACATCGATGCCAGGGCGACCATGCTATGTTGTTGTGGGCACAGGCGCTGCGAAAATCTCAGGACGGTGACAGGAATTATGTAATTATTTCTGCGCGCCGGGCTGCTGCCGATATCGCGTTGACGTTGTTTGTAGAACAAGAGAATTCATTATATTCCCGTACGCAAATGAGCACACGAATTCCTACGCGAGCCTGAGATTGTTCTAATTGACAGGAAAGAGAGGGCCGTGCTATGCGCATGAACGATGGAGCCGACTAGGGTGATGCGCGCAGCGGTTGCAACTTATTAGGCTGCAGATATACACGGTATACGCGAGTGTGTAGGAAAACTAGAGATACTATGCACGGTGTCTCATTCGGCTTCAGGGTCGCTATCATATAGAATAACACTAGAGGTTCTCTGGCACACGGGTCAGAGGCGAGTATGAGGGGGAAATGCTGCAGCGATAACTCACCAGCCAGTCTTGCTCTAAAGCGTACACGCGACCCCGTAGATCGCGTATGTCAGTTAACAGCTGTGCACCTGATATGACTAGCGTCCATCTGCGAGGGTAGTACTTCCTCAGGTCGTGCTTCAAACGAAAGTAGAGACGCTCGCAACTGGATAGGGAGGGTACTATTGGCATTTCAGGCTACAGGAGAGACAAGCTTGGGACGTACTCGTGCCATTCCTGCTTCAGCTCGTGCACCCCGCGATAGCCGAGTTCGTCAGAGGAGACGCTGCCGGTACCAAACAGCCGTGCAGTTATGGACCGCTCCAGACGTCTAAGTCCTTCTTCTACTTCTTTGAGAATAGCGTGTATTTCGGTAAAAGTTTTGTCTGGGTTGTCGAGCCAGTATACACACACGAGCTCGTAGCCCTCTTTGAGGCTCAGGATCGCGAGAGCTGCGCTGCCCACCAGCACCTGCTGGAGCATGTGTTTTTCCTATTGAATCAACGAGCAGTTTGCGGAGAATGCGGGGAGAGTGTACAATGGTACCGGCTGACGGAGTTTCGGTTACTAGGTGGGTCGAGAAACGAAGATTCTTTGCACTAGCGCTGCCTCATGGTTGTTTGTCGAAGCCATCTCGGGCGTATATTTATCTGCACAATCGAGAGACGTTTAGCCTCTCAGTGAATAGTTAGCGGGAGCTGATGGCGAGTACGACCCACCGCTTGTGAAACTCATTCATTCAGCCCCAACCGCCCCAGTGCATTTATGCCAGTCCAGCGAGGATATAGAGAATAAAACAAGAATACATAGCTTAGTGTCGTTGAGTAAAAACTGTCTCAGACATGACCGTTTGAATTTTTAAGTCATCGCGAGTCATGCAGGAGCTGATCACAGAGCAAAGTGCGGGCTATGGGCGCTTAATAATTTCTAAACAAAGTAGTATGTGTACCATGTTTGGCATTGTGTGCGCTTATGTAATACGTTCGCAGGCCTCCTACTAGCTTCCACCGTCGTAAGTATCGAGTAGTATTAAGGTATTAGATTGTGGAAAGAGAACCCGGGCTGTATAATATCTATACTCTATCATAAGTTGCAATACGCCGCATGTCATCCAGCAGCCTCCCCGCGTCCTCGCGCTCCCCAGGGTTCTGGCGCCAACATCTCTCTATGCGAGCGGACAGAAGCCGCTGTCCCGCAATCTCCTTTGGCAAGGCTGGCCGTTTCCCGTGCATGATCTCACGTGTAACACTCCCATTCTGAACGCCCTGAAACGGATTGTCACCGGTGTAGAGCTGTTACGGCAATTTCAATGCCTAGGTGAGCACAGAGCATCATATCGCCGGGGCAAGACGTACCTCGATGCAGAGCATCGCAAACGAGAACAGGTCGGTCTGCGTCGTGGGCCGATTGGAGCTTGAGATAAAGCGGGTCGGGACTCCGTAGATGGCATCTTTTGTCTTCATCTCCTTGTCGGTTAGGTTCGGCATGGTCTGCTCCGGCGCGAGGTACCGCTCGTTGCCCGACCGTGTGGAGTTGAGCATGTTACTCGCGCCGTCGACAGATATGGACAGCCCAAAGTCGCCAATGACTACGTTGTTATCAGTTCTGTCTCGCGTGTTGACGAAGATGTTTAGCTGGTAAGGATCGAATGAGCAGTCAGGATAAGCTGATCGTAAACAGTCACTGAGAGCACATACGCCACGAAGATCGCCGTGAGCCACACCTTCGTCGTGCATATATTTAATGCCCTCTGCAATTTGCTTGAGCTGTTATACAAACATGTGAGCCGACGAACAGCTATCGCACCTCATCACCTACCCAGAGGTTCAGCAGCTTGATCTGTTGCTGCACAGGTCTCTTCACGAACTTTGGATTGCAGACATAATGCCGTGTCGTGCCGCCCTCCATCTTCTCACTTACGATAGAGATCCGCCCTCTGCGGTGCGTGATACCTTCCGTCGCGAGCAAACGGCAGTGGCGTAACGTCCAGCCGTTGAGTATTTCCAGATACGTGTGCTTTGGATACCGTCAGCACCACGTACCCAGTCCAACCTTATGAGCACCGACCTTAATCTCTTCCGGTGTAGTGGCGGCGTTGATCGTCTTGATGGCGACTCTGATCTTCGCATTATTGGGTCGCTGCATTGTGGTGAAGGTCACCGAACCATAAGAACCGCCGGCCTGCTCGGTGGGATCGAAGTACATGCCGTCTTTGCCTGCTTCACGCTGTCGGGGCGCCTCATCTTGTCCGAAGTACTTGGTGGAGATCTCGAGCGCCGAGGGCAGCATTTGCGTGTTGTACGCGAGCAGCGCCATCAAGCGGCGAGCCGTGCTCCGAAGCTTCGCGCTCCCGGGCCCGTTCGTCCTGCTTGAGTTGTCGATGTACTGCGGCGTATGAGTATACGTGACAGAACTTGCGCTTTGTTGACTCACCGCTTTATAGCCGTCCAACATGCGGATCGCGAGCGTGCCGCGCATGCAGTCCATGTAGTCCATCCATGGACCTGATGGTTTCTTCTCCTTCTTGAATCTGTCTGCGAAACTATGTGCGAGTTGATGGAAGAAGGCACCCTTCGCGATAGATGTGGAAGTCTGGGCGTCGACCATGCCGCGCATCCTCGCGCCTAAGACCGCAAGCTTAACTTGGAGATTAACGGCGGCCTCAGAGACGAAAGGCGAAGCTGGTTCGACAAAATTGTATGTTGCACCTAATTCACGACAACGTTCAGTATGCCACTCGATCAGAAGATGGATCACCGCGTACTTGGGTATACGTTCAGAAACCCGAAGATAATTGCCAAGGACCCGGAGACTACAGGAAATAGCTCTTGGGCAATGTTAAGCTTTGCCCGCTTCTGCCACTGCGGATTGTTCCAGAGTGAGCTCAGAAAATAACTGAGATGGTGCTCGATGTGACGAGAAAGATCCCAGACGACATTAAAATCAAGAGATTGAACACCTCGAGGGACCAGCTCTGGATGTTCGCACAGATATTGCAGCGCGGTTCCCGCCAATACGTAACCTGCTTTCTGAAAGAGAATAAGTGAATAGACAGCAGAGACACGACTTGGCTTACAATAGAGGCAGACAGCGGTGTGTCATTGAACGCGCCCTTCGCAAAATCAAGTACGTCGATGGCAGTCTTGAGGGCCCTTAGCGCCGGTTCCCTGGCGATTTTCTCCATGGATCTGCGTACATCGATCTGCTGAGCGAGAGTGGGTATGACGCAAACTGCAACAGAGCCAGGGCTCCGCTTGTTGTCCGGCGAAGAGCGGGGCGCCGTCAGCTGGAAGGGGCGAGAAACCTCTGGAGAATATCTGTGTCAGTTCACCCAATATTTGCGCTGGTTCGAACCACACACCGGAAAGCAGTTCATATAGCCCTACGTCCACCCAGCCCACTATTTCCGGTGTACTTAGCCGTAGTGCGGACTTTACTCGGTGCACTTCTAGCTTAAGCGTGTGGGTGCCCGTGGGTATGCGTCTGAGAGAGGATTAGTGACATGTAGTCGGATAATCAGGAGGAAATGCTAACATTTGCAGGTCCTGCCTAACGCGCCAGTTTGGTGTTGCCGTGTCGCTCGACGACGGAGGTAGCTCGCAAATTTCGGAACGATCCTTGTTGAGTTTGAGGTGCAGTGAGTACAGCCCTCTTTGGTCGAAGCTTCCAATGAGATCTGGTCCATAGAGACTCAGTGCCTTGTATGGTTCTGGTGACAGAAGAACGTACGGGTCACATTGAGGATTATGAGGCCGGTGCCAGCCGGAGAAGCCGTCGCTGAGGGCATGTGTAGGTTAAGATTTTCAAAATGTCGGTGTGGGAAGAGCAGTGGGACGACAGCATCCTTTGGCCCCCATATATCTCTAGGACATCCAAGAGGAGCTGTCAACAATCCAGCGCAAAAGCTGTGCGTGGTAGCGGCCGGATACGAGCACAAGAACAGCTCGTCGACGAGGGGATGTAGCAACGAAAAGACAGCAACAATGGGACGCCGCTCGCTTCACATGCACAGCGTATTGGAACCTGGGACGCGGATAAGACATGCCCTACACGGATTCACGTAAGGATGCACGAGAAGATATGATACACGCGGTAGGAGGTACCCGCTCATTTCCATGCAGAGAACAAAGATGAAGACATGAGCTGGAGGCCTGGAGATCTGATCCAGTGTTACCAGCACCGCCGGAAGCCTATCCCACAGGGATGCCGAAGACGAAGAAGACATGGTGACTGCATCCGTGTTTGAATGGCGGTTATTGTATTCTAGATAGACACAATTGGCCAACGGTGTCATTTTGCTCGTATGCTCCGTGCTTGCAGTAGCATCTCGCTGGCCGGGTGCCGCGCTGCCTCGCACGAGTCAATAGAATTCAAATAGCCCGAGGTCGCAAGATAGTAGCGAGGATATGAGACACAGGAGATACGCGAAATGCATCGAACGACAGCACCTGGACAAGGGGATGTCGCCAGCGGTGGCAGAGAGGAATAGCAAAGCGAGGACGCGAGCGTTGACGCTCACTATCCTCAAGCAAGGACCCCCGGCACCTCGGATGATCTAGTCAATGGGTATTTACTGGCATCCTTATAAGCGGCATCCCTCCTGAAGTCGCTCGTAAACAAAATGCATAAGTTCAAAGGAGTGTATTGTAGCTGAAAGTAATAGCTAGTAGTAACGACAGTAACAGCTTAAATGTCCCGGAATCCGCAGCGTTCTGACAATGAACACCCTTCATCCAACAGCATTGCACTCGGGCAGATGTATAAGGTACCAAATATGACACTCATCCATCTGTAGCATTAGATGAGAATTACATTGTCATTGACTTGACCGAGACCTGTCAGCGGCTCAATGAGCGCCAGGACGGAAGAAGGCGAAGCGAAAGCGTACCGATGCCGCTGGCGACCTATGAGAACTCGACAGGCTCGCCTGGAGTGGCTTGAATTGTATTCAGTCTGTTCCGACTGGCAATCACGGAGTTTGTGTCTTCCAAGATGCGCGCAGAAGATCTCTGAGATGGTACCCTCAGGATATGGCCCCTCACAGACGCGAGCTGGTGAACTTACGGTAGCAACTGCATTGAGCTCCAGGCATTCCTCTCGGAATACCTCCAGTTGCCGCTGGAGCTCGCGTGACTTGAGCATTCTCTGCGGCAAAGTTGTGTTCTTGAGGTCATGAAAGTCTGATTCATAGTTCCGCAAGGAGCTCAGGAGCCTGCGAGAGCTGTGAGCAAACTAAGCCATAAATCGAGGGCATGACGTACTGGTGGTTCTTCATCTGCAAAGTGTAAGGGTCGTTGGACTCGCCAATTTGGAGGGTCACAACGCAGTACGTCTTCCGCTTTCCCGCAGCGTCCGGCTCGGTATCGCTGATAATTCGCACGAGAGCCTTGATGCACTGCTTCACTTTGACTGCAATCTCGTTCACGAGATCCGCGATCACGCGGAAAATCGCCTGGACATCCGCGGTAAAGCACTCATACACCATGGTTACCCCACGACGCGCTACTTCGAGTATGCCTCCGACCAGCAGTAGCTTTGGGTTGACCGTGAGGGAGAGCAAGCTGGGGTCTTGCAAGGTAGCGAGCTGAAGCATGATGGGAGCCATGTCTGTTGTTCGCTCACATAAGCAGGGAATTATCGTTTCGTGCCTGGATCTACGTACCAGGGAAAGGAGGTCTAAGTAAGTGCCAGCACTTTGAGGTTGAAAATGGATCGGACAAGCCAGCGTCCGGCCCTGGTACGGTCAGGTTAATATATCATAAAGGGCGTCAATTTTAATGACCCTGGGCCATTCGCATGTCCAGTGATAGTTGCCAAAAATGGATTCTAGGCGAGGCTGTCGGGGATTCTTGGGGAGTACAAAGGCTCCGCAAGCAAGATTGGCAGGACAACAACTGTTGTGAGGCACGCCGGCACTGCTGCGCGAGGAATCTGGCCGTGGGCCTTCTAATTACGTAAGCAATAACAACAGTGCCTCGCGTCCTCGGGCTGATGTCCATTGCACTGCTCACTCCGTATCCCACAAGTTCTGCAACATGACCGACGCAGCAGCCGCCGCAGAGGCCCGCATCGCCGCCCGACTAAAACGCATTGGCGAAGAGGGTTCACAACTGCTTCGTCACGAGGCCCGTTGGAGGGACAAGCAGCCATTCCTGGCCTCACGAGGATACTCGCTTCGTCCACGATTCCACCCAGGATGGCGACCGTCCTGGGAGCTACACCCGGGCTCAGATCCTCGCAACTTTGAGGACCACTGGCAGCTTCCGGTGCGTCTGTGTTCTGCTTACGGGTACACTCAAACGTAATCTCGTGTTGTAGCTCTGGACGAACATAATTGACGCGACGCGAGACTCAGACGGACGTCTAGTATGTATCAAGAGAGTGCGGACAGCGGGTTCCGAAATCCAAATAGCAAGATACCTCTCTACACAACCGCTTCGCAATGATTCTCACAATCACTGCATTCCCATCCTGGATAGCTTTCAGGACGACCATGACCCTAACATATCTTATATCATCATGCCCCACATGCGTCCCATGAGTGATCCTCCCTTCGAACTGGTAAATGACGTACTGGACTTTGCAGAGCAGGTTCTCGAGGTGGGTGAGTCCACGTCTCGCACGGGCGGATGCTCATGGCTCCAAACAGGGCCTCGTCTTCATGCACGGACACGACATCGCCCATAGGTACGTACCACTGGATATTTGCTCATGAACTGTGTTCATGTCTATTAGGGATGCTGCGGAAACAAACATCCTCATGGATGCAGACTCGATGTACCCCCAAGGATACCATCCAGTACAGCGGAAGCGGCTTCCAGTCCCGAACTGGTCGTCCGACGCACCTCATTACTCGCGTGCAAGTGCGCCACGGCCGGTACGGTACTACTTCGCAGACTTTGGTTTATCTACGCACCTCGCGCCAGGCGCGCCGCGGCTAGTCACGGGCGGACTCGGCGCAGAACGCGACGTGCCCGAGCTATCAGACATGATACCTTACGACCCGTTCAAGTTGGACATCTTCGTACTCGGGAACGTCTTCAAAAGCCAGATCCACGACGTGAGTCTCGCGTCTCCTGCGATCGCGACAGCCTTCTGATCACGATCTGCGTCCGCAGAAATACTTCCGCGTCGAGTTTCTCGGGCCGCTGATCGCGGCAATGATGCAGCGCAACCCTGCCGCGCGTCCTACCGCACAAGAAGCTCTGCAACGCTGGCGACACATCAGGACTCGTGTGTCCGTCATCCAGCGCGCGAGCAGGCTGCGCGGGCGCGACGAGACCCTTGTGTATACTATCCTCTTCGACATCCTGTCTTTCATCAAGGTCGTCTACGTCGTCGCCAAAAAGTTCACAGGTTGGTCGTTGAGCTGGCTCTCAATGATATTCACGTAGTATTAGTGCTTTTCCGTGGATGTATCTTCGCGCGTCCTTTCTGCCATGTTTGTATCATGCACAGTGCTATAATTATATTGGGTTATCTGCTCTGCTTCCGCTTCCCAGGATATCTTAACCCCCTGGAGACCTCATTTTGTTTTCGGTCTGCAAGGGCAACTGCATCCCCATCAGCTATCAAAGAACCAAGTCTCAGGTAGCAATCGATCCGAAATGTCGCAATTAAAGCCAAGCATACATGGTGAGGTTTCCACGAGTATAGATGCTGTTCAGGCTGGCCGTACGATTACGTTTGATACTGCGGCTTTGTGCCGCTAAAACAATAAGACCGCCCCAATTTGCTTGTACCATAGAAACACCCGTGTGTCATAGTGCGCCGTGGACCAATAAGGGCTCCTTAGTCGGAGGCTGTGTGGCACGTATGTTCGGGCTGGGGATCGCGTGAGCAGTGCTATATGTCTGCCAGCAGGATAGCAAAGGACAACACGAGGCGACTCCCAAGGCAACTTTGACGTCGCATCTTTAAGAGACAAGATAGGGCGTGCGGGGGAAAGACGGAGATGATCACGTCTTGGGAGGAGATGCGCACACACCTTCTCCGAGCCACCGTAAACTCGTATGGAGCCGAACTTGGTGTCGTGGCAGAGAACAAAGAGTCTTCAGGAACGGTGTACGTCACTATGTTGAGAGCCAGACAGCCGACGCATCTCAGGACAAAGGAGGGGACCGCATGTTCGAACTCCGGGCCCGCGCTGTCAGCTAAGCTGCACTCCGCGAGAAAAATACAAGGGTGACTCTCCGCGTGTGCGCGATAGCGGCGATGAATGACATATGAGCGTGGGTGATGGTTGGTATCGGAGCATGTCGGGACACATTAATGTGTGGCTGGTGAACAAAGGCTGATGCACCAACGCAGGGCTCGGGTGTTGCCAGCGCCCAGCTGTTTGGATCATGTGACATGCAGGTGCTCGGCGCTGATCAGCCAGTGTATTGCGGACCTTATGGGAGATTGTTTGTGATGTTATTTGGCTCTGTATTCATTATATAAGCAAATCACAGACGCTTGTCTTGACGACTGCGGGGCAGCACCATGCTTCAAACACCCAGTGGGCCCTGTCGGAGGGAATCCATGTCGTCCCATAAAGAGAGAGATCTGTTCTCGTTCGAAATGCTCTGTGTGTAGGTACGTCCGTGTTGGAATCCTTCGCGATGGTACTGTTAAGATGGAAATTGTCCGTGCAGGTCTATGCTGGCCAAGAACTGATTCACAAAGCGATTTCTCAGCCGTGCAAGGTAAAATCCTCGGAAATATTAAACCTGTTCTGCCTAATATGCACAATGCCAGCCGTTGCTAATGAGGAGAATCACAGTGCGCTGGGATCACACCCTCGGGAGACGTCAAAACGCACGACGCTTGTTGCGTGATAAACACTAGTATGCGCCAGAGCTTGCAGTAAAAGAAGCATGTACGGATGTACAGTAGACAGACTGTAACAGAGGAAACGAGATCGGGATTTGAGCGCGAGCACTGGAGGTCACATAGGGTCCTGCAACACTGAATTTCACATGCGGCTTAACACGGGTAGGGAGCGGAAGTAGACGGCTTACGAATAGTTACCAGTAGACTCTGTATCACCTCGAGCGTATTGGCATAAACTCGCTAGTTGAAACAAAAAACAAGACAAAGCGGACTGCCAAAGCTGTGACCCCGTGGATGTTAATGCGTTTAGTCCCGTTCCCTCTCTTTTAAAATATTTACAGAGACCGCACGCAGTGCGATCAATAATTGTTAAGTAGTCGTAGTAAGGGAGGGAATGAATACCTGTCAACGAGCTGTTATCAACTGAGCTGCAGAAACCGTCTCTGCACGCCATTTCAGACTCCGTTTGTTATATGGCTTACAGCATTAATAACGGGCCGGAATGTCTGAAACCGCCAATAAGGCGCTGAGTATCGGACAAGCGATGTACTCGAAATGAAAGGGAGGTCCAAGTAGTACGGGCACTTCCACCTCCGGTGTCCGCGCTGTTGCCCCAGTTATACTCCGCGAGGGAAGAAGAGAACGGCGTTTTTTGCGGCTTCAGAGCATGCGGAAAATCTCTGACTGATTCTGAGACAAGGAAGTGCAGACTATCGCATTGAAAACTCAAGTGGCAGTCCCGATCGCAAGTACCCTAGAAGTGTAGGACCCCGGCAGCTCGTCTATTACCATAAGGGGAAGCTGTTATGCCATATTTGACATCGTCTGCGCTTATGTAAGCTGCTCCCAGCCTCTGTCTTTGAACACGTACTTTGCTCTGTGGGACTGACACAAGCTGGTCCGAAATAAATACGTATTAGGAGAATTTTAAGTGTCCGTAGTGTCTGTAAATCAAGTGTAATGCACAACACAGGGTCATTTGCTAGGCAAGGCTTCCGATGTCTGCGAGCAAAGCAGCCGCATCTCCACGGTGTAGCGGGTTCTGCTGCCAGCAGCGCTCGAGTGCACGCACCAAACCTGGCTGCGCAGCAATTGCCGTCGGCAGTGGCGTCGGCCGCATGCCTTGCAGGATGAGGTTCGAGACCTGCCAGTCCGCCGCACTAGGGTGCGACGCTACGAATGGCTCCTGGCCAGTGTAGAGCTACCAAAGGCAGAATGACGATTAGCAGGAGCAACAAACACAGAGATGTGTGACCCACTTCGACACAAAGCATCGCAAACGAGAATAGGTCGGATGCCTCGTTTTGTCGACTGCTGGGCGATATCCTAAATTTAGGCCCACTGAATAGGGCACGTATCTCTGAAGAGATGCCGACGCTCGAAGTGCTCGGATGTTGTCCACTTGACGGAGCGCCAGAGTGTTTACTTCCCGCCGCGAGTCTTACGACGATCTTACCGGCAGCGTCGTCTACGTCGTTATGCCGTAGTTGCAGCTCGGGCGCGAGGTATCGCGGGTTGCCGACCCGGGTCGACTTGTATGCCTGGCTGATGGACTCGACGTAAAGCGACAGCCCAAAGTCGGCAATGACAATCCTGTTGCACCCCGGGTCGCTCTCGCTGTCTATCAAGATGTTTTTCTGTAGAACGAAAGTGTCAGTGAGCTAATATCGCGAGAATTCGGACCAGGGCTATACTCCACGCAAGTCACCGTGGGCCATGCCTTCGTCATGCATATACTTGAGCCCCTCTGCTACCTGCTTAAGCTGCAAAAAGAAATAAGAATGATTTTAATCAAACACGTGTCGGACACATACCCAGAAATTAAGCTTGGCAATGCGTTTACCCTCTGGCAGCCGTCCAAAATCATTCGAGGTGTTGATATAGTTCCGTACGTTGCCCCCGGCCATACGCTCGCTGACGATTGAGAGCATTTCCAGATAATGCACGATACCCAGTGTAGGCAGCAGCCGTTCGTGGCGCAGCGTCCAGCCCGCGATGATCTCGAGGTACGTGTCCTGGACGCACAGATACGTGAGACTACACTCTAAAATGAGATGAATGTACACACTTCGACGATCTTCTCGCCCAAGGACTTCGTAAGACCTTTGATCGCGACCTCGATCCGCTTCCTTTTCTGACAGGACATGGAGCCAAACGACACGATCGAAGACGTGCCGGTGTCCTTCCCGCTCCCGGCCCTCATCGCATCCTTGACCGCAGCGGGCGCAAATGGGTTTCTCGAAGGGAATGTGATTCTGCTCTCTTCGATGTGCAGAGCCGATGGCAGCATCCGTGAGTCCCGCGCGAGTGTCGTCATCAGCCGGCGCGCTGCGCTTCTGAAACGTGCGTCCTGCGGGCGGTGGTCCGTCTCGTCGATGACCTAGCAACCGGTCCATCAGCCGATGCAAGACGGGGGAAAGTTGGCCACGCACTCTCTTGAAAGCGTTCAGCATCCGGACCGCAGCCCGGCCGTACATACAGTCCATGAACTCGATCCATGGGCCGCTGGGGGCACGCTCTCCCGTAAACTTCTTCGCGTATTGCCGTGCCAGCGCGCACAAGAACTCGTCCTTATCCTCGTCAGTGAACGCGCGCGGTGTCCTGTCGCACAGTCCACGCATCTGCGCGCCCATCGCGAGGAGCTGGAAGAGAAGCCTAGAGAACATACTCCCGGACGTCTGTGATAGGCTCTCGATGAACTCGTAGCCAGTGGCTGCAGCACACGGTGAGCGCGACAATGACGCGTCTGTACCACCGCGGACGTACTTTTGTAGCAATCCACAAAGCCAAAGACGAGGACCAATGATCGGCCCACGGCAGGTATTAACTCTTTCGCGAGCGAAGACGCGGCGTGATCGTTTGTACGCGAGGCGGGCCAATACATAGTTGAGAAGTGGTGTAGCTGCAATTTAACCTGGCGCACCAAGTCCCAGATGGGATTATCTTCGGGGACGCGCCTATCGTCTGGGTAGGTGGTGTAGTCGTGATGAAGGTAGGATATAATAGCATAGGAATATGCGCTGCTGAGACCCTGGTGCCGGATGTAAGACCCATAAACATCCGTGAGCAGACGCCATACATACCATTGCAGAATAATCCGCCCCGAGAGACTTCCCCAAAGAAGTGAGGTCTTGAAAGATAGTAAGTATCGATGCCATGAGAGCCAATCTAACCCGGGTTTGGTGGTACGGTGCGAGGTTGACTCCACCTGGAACCGTGGGTAGAAACGGTTGCAGGAGTAGCGTGATGTCCCCGACCGCACTGGAAGTGGACGGCGCTACCAAATCAACTGCCGTGGGTTGTTCTGGCGCTAAGTGTCAGAGGGAGATTATGCAAGACGAGGACTGCACGCACCAGACGATAGCTGATGCAATGGTAGTTCCCGTACTTCTCCAACCAGCTCAACTTTCTTTCTGGAAGAATGGTGAAATACCTGGAGCATTAGGAAGTAGGTCCCGGCTGGTAGCGTTCTGGAGTTTGGTAAGATCCACGAGATGAGTCTCGCTTCGCAAAAGGGCTTACATCATCCTTTTCGGGTTATGCCAGACCGGTTTGGAAGTCTTCCCCGTTGGGCCAAACGTTATAGGGACTGGTGAAACCATGTTGCTTCGCTGTCCGTTTGGAGTAACATGGACTGAGAAACTGCCTTCTTTGCCAAATCTTGCTTGTAGCTCTGGCTGGTGTTACTGGGGATGCATGACGAAACAGAGGTAGTTTACTCACGAGCGACTGTTATCAGGACAGTGCCAACTCCATTGTTCGAAGACATGGGAAGGTAGTTGGGCAGCGCGGAGAGCTACAGGCGGGTTGGCGTTCACGTAGACGAAGGGTTTTCGAGGATAGAGTGTGGTGGACCTTCGTCGGCATGAGTACATGGAATATTTGAGCTCGTCCCGAGACGTGTGGAGGCACGGCAGAGATGTTACCAAGAAGGCATAGCAAAACTTGCCGTCAGGTAGTCTCGACAATGGTGCAATGGCTGGAGGACATGGTGCTGTGCCTTGACGAAAGCCGTGCGTGCCGCAAACAGGGTCCTTCTGAGCTAGGGCCATGTCAAGACACAAATGGGACGAGGACAGCATCGACAAACTTACAGGAGGCACAGGGTACAGGAAACACAACAAATTGAAGCCCTGATACATACGGAGAGATCCTGTGAGGGATACAGTACTTCTGATATCGACCGATGTAGCATTGGTTCAAACGGTCAACGTTCAACGTTCACCGCCAATATGCAGGGCGGACAACACGCTGTGCCTCTCAAAACGGGGTCGTCATTGTCTTCGTATCCTAGTGGATCTTCTGAGCGGGGGTGCGCTACGGACGGAGACGCCCCTTGTGCGGAAGGCACCCGAAAACCTTCCCAGCTAAGGCACCGTGGTAGGGACCAACCTGCGTCTCTATTGAAGAAGCATCAGTCCGATATTGCGTGGAAAAGTGTAAATTACAGCAAAGAGCTCTAATTGTGAATGCCTTGGTTGTGACGGGCAGTGCGAAAGGTGGTGAAGCTTGCTGGCAAAGCGAAAGCTCTGACGCGCGGTGCCAGGCACTGGCCCCCGGACAGCGCCCGCTCGATGTCGCCGACCACAGAACATTTCATCATCAAGGCCATGACGCAAGAAAAGCCCAGAGATCACCCTACCGCGGAGGAGTCACTCGAGCAGTGGCGAAAGATCCGCCGACACGTCTTGTGGATCCAGCGCCTGTGCCGCCTGCGCGGAGGTCCTTGTACAGACGATCGTCCTCGACGTTGTCTCCGTCATCAAAGTGGCGTACATAACAGCCAAGCGCTTCACAGGCTGGTCCCTGAGCTGGCTCTCTTTGATCTTCTCCTAAGGATAGCACCACGTTGCTTGTGCCACCGCTATCGTCCGCTTTTCCTGGCCTGTCATGCTCTATCTCACAAACGCTGCTTGGAAACCACGCTATGCGATGCCATCTCTGTTATTTTTTTCGTATGCTGTGTTCGCGTTCGGATCGCCCTGTATTATTGTGCTCGGTCAGACGACATGCGTGCTAGACAGTGGCGACCACAGTTATCAGTACCCTCGTTATCACTAACTGCCGCGAACAGCGGGCTTTCGAATGCACTGCCGCGCCTGTGTTCAAGTTCCTCGCTGCGCAATCAAATAATCGAACTGGAAAGCCGCTGCCCACCAGCCAGGACGGCGGACCCTTCGAGTCCGCCAGACAGACGCGCGCATGTAGTACACGCCGCGAGAACAATTGCACGTTGCAATTTGAACACGCGCACTACGCGGGTGTGCTGCCGATAAAGTGATGCCCAACGCAGTGCATCGACGCTCGCGATCAAGCTCGGGCCCTGCTCGCCAGAGATAACAGGTCAGTGCAGAGGGCGCTGCGGCAGGTACCCGCGCACGGGCCGATCGAGGTGAGGAAGCGTCAGTAGTGAAGACGGCAGTGCGGACAGGGGTCAGGGTGCGTTCGTGGCTGTTACCAGGGTCTCGGTGAGAACCGTCGCGCTGCGGAGACAATTGGTGGTGCCCCGTGGGGCAAGGGCGGCCCAGCTTTGCGGTAACCGCTGGACTTCCTGCGCGTTGCCGGGCATGTAGCTGAATGGGGCACGATTAGTGTTGCCACGGCTCGACTGCTTAGCCGCTAGCCGTTACAGTCAAGCCACACGGCAGCCGAGCCAAGTCGGCTGATCGGCATTGGCTCTTGAGTGGCTCGGCTCGGCTCGGCTGCGACTTGTAGCCATCACAGTCGTCCAAAAAAGGAAAATGTCGCATCAGCTCACTCGCTGCTATGAATTCTTGAGCTGGAACATGAGGATAGGCTACAGCAGCAATAGAGTAACATCCTAAGACACCTAAGAAGACCTGTGGGAAGTGTAGAGGCTGCTTCTAAGCAAATGGATTACAGCAGCCTCTAGCAGGCACTTGCGATCAGCTCTTCATTTTATCATTATAGATAAGATAAGATGGCTAGGCTCGAGGATCACAGGTGAAGCACCTCCTGGTGTCAGCTTCAAAAAGGGAAGAAGTGGCTAGGCTATTACAAACAAAGACTATCTGGCTTGACTTGCATTGTTGCATGCATTAATACTATATTCTATGCACATAAACAGCTGATAGCTTTATCTAGGCCCAATTTCTGAGCATCTAACACTTACCTCTACAGAGGAATATGCAATCTCTTCCTGTACAAGCTGCAGAATAATTTCATTTACTACTTTGCAGCCTCTCATTTATATCACAACAATATTCACATAACTGTGGTTTGTCTAGTGCAAATTCTCATTTTGTGAGTCTCAGGTTAAGCTGAGCAGCTCACAATTGAAATTCTTCATAGCACAAGAGCAAAAAAAAACAAAACAATAAAGTACTAGTGACTATAGTCATGCATGAGGTATACTTTCACAAGCTGAATAGGGCAGGCTTGAATGAGTAGCACAACAGTACTGTAAATGTGGCATATGATTCAGATAACTGACCACCAGACTGGTAAAGCAGCAAGTTTGGCAGTGACTGTGACACTAGTCAAGAATCCAGCAATCAAACAGTGACAGTGGCCCATGCATAACCTGACAGAATAGTAACAGAGCCAAGAATGGCATGAGTACCAGCATTGGACAGTCAATAACTGAGTCATCCCAGCCACGGTCATTGACTGACAGCTGGTCACTGATGGGTCAATGACTGAGTTGCAGTCAATGATTGGATGGTTTTGTGATCCCACACAAGTAAAATGCCGAGGCCGAGTGCTTAGAAGACAGACTTCAATGGACGGCAGAGCCTGATGGTGTCCTGCGATATAGTTGGTTGCCAAGGTGGAACCCAGAAAACTGGCCAGTCATGGTCATGTCTGACTTGGTCATTGATCAGTCACTGGCCAGCACAATGCTGATTAGTACCACAGAAGGCGCGTGTAGGTTTTTTTCTCATACATCTTGCACTGCAGGCACAAAAATTTAAAAATTGATTCTAGCAGAAACTAAAAACATGACTGCCATTCTTGAGAGCAGTGGCTAGGGGCCACGTGATGCATGAAGCACCAGACTGGTTGTACAGGCACAGTACTAAGAGACAATGACCTTAGTGTATGCAGACACTTAAACACATGCTAGATATCCTAGTAAATTTGTTCAAAAGCTTTGTAGGAGGGCCCTTCCCATCATCTACATGCAGGTTAGCTCTGGAAGGGCACGTAGAGCCTTTGAAGTAGCTACAAGTCAGCTTTTGTGATATCAGTGTGAACTACCTTCTATTTTTGGACAAACAATCAGCTTTAAGCTGTTTCACAGCCACAGCCATTCAAAGTCACGGCTTTCTTGTGGCTTGGCTTGGCTTGACTGATCCAAGAAAGATAAAGCCATCAGCAGTCAAGCCATAGCCAAGCCAAGCCAAGCCGTAGCAACACTAGGCACGATACGAGCCATCACACCATGTAACATAACCATATTTGGGTGACGGACATGCAGCCGTGGTTGAAACATTACAAAAGTTTCAGTTTGGCAGTACAGACACGTGAACTTATTAAGTTATACCAGACTAGCTGCTCATAAGCACTCAAGTGGCTAAGACACACTTGGGAATTTCTGAAAAGCCCAAAGAATGGCACAAGCAGAAATCAAACCTGCAGCCTGAAAGTAACTGCAGCATGCCATACCACTAAGGCATAAGACCTTGCAAATGTAAGGTTGCAATTGCCCTATAGTACCACTTTTCCACCTTGAAGTCTCTTATATTTTAGCCAATGATTTACATATTAAAGCAATGGAATGTAGTTGTACAAAGGTATATTTTGATGTTATGGCTAAGACACCAGCATGGCTAAAACATTGAGATGATGAATCTTTGCCATTGATTCCACTTGAGTTACTGAGTATAATTCATCTGCTCTGCTGTCTTAGCCATGCTGGTATTTTAGCCATGCCATTAGAATATACAATTGTACAATAAGCAGAATCAAAACCAATATTCATGTCTCAATGTTTTAGCCATGCTGGTGTCTTAGCCATAACATCAAAATATACCTTTGTACAATTACATTCTATTGCTTTAATATGTAAATCATTGGCTAAAATATAAGAGACTTCAAGGTGGAAAAGTGGTACTATAGGGCAATTGCAACCTTACATTTGCAAGGTCTTATGCCTTAGTGGTATGGCATGCTGCAGTTACTTTCAGGCTGCAGGTTTGATTTCTGCTTGTGCCATTTTTTGGGCTTTTCAGAAATTCCCAAGGGTGTCTTAGCCACTTGGGTGCTTATGAGCAGCTAGCTAGTCTGGTGTAACTTAATAAGTTCACATGTCTGTACTGCCAAACTGAATCAGCTCCAATGGTGGCTCTTGTTCATCACTGATACCCAGTGTAGGCACCACCTAGTGCCTCAAACTTGAAGTTGGTGATTCTTGTTTTTATATTCTGATGGGAGTTTTAGCGTGATTAGTGATGTGCAGGCCCAGCTTGGACTCAAAGCCCAGGCTTGGGCTTGTGGCAATGCCAAGCCAAGCCCTGAGCCCAAGCTGAGCTTGAGCCCAGGCTTGCCAAGCTTAGCACAAGTATTTATATGCTATAAAAGTGAGCATATTTGTATGTGATAGGCTGCTATTGCATGTACCCACCATACTGCAGCCTCCAGAGAGCATGCAATCGTGCTACAAGCCATGTTATGACAAGGTTCACAAAGGGGTGCCTATGGCAAATGCTAGGCGGTGGCGCACAATCGCGCCTAGTCACACTAGCAGGGACTGCCCAGTCTGGTAAGTTAATGTTTTGTCCTGTATGTGTATATAAAGTCGTTCTTACCATGTTTTGAGCCCAGAGAATGGCAACACATTTGGTGCACCCAAGCCTGGGCTTTCGGGCCGGGCTTGGGCTTGACTACACTCCGAGCCTGGTTTCATCAGGGAAACCAAACATCGCTGTGGACTACTACGGAGTCTACGTACAGAGTGTAGTGTGATAGCCTAGTCCCTACCTCATAGTTGTTTGTACTTCAGTCAATGAGCGCCGTACAATTTCGAGGTGGTGCATACTTCAGTTAGACGCCTTCGTACTTCTGCGGCACCTGCTGCATACACCACGATAGCGATTTCGAACATCTCAAGTAGCACACTGTACATATGATATACATGACAGAGCGATATTGGCAAAAGTTACAGTAACAGTGAGGCACTATAGCAGTGCTACTAAAAGTCATCGTCGTGCCATACACTAAATGTTCGGGTGGCGAGAGCATGCTGCATGTGTTCACGGGTTTTGTCGGAAGCCTTCTCTGTCTTCTGAGTTGCTGGTTGTATGGTGATATTGCCTTATCGTCTGTAGCCATGGAATGTTACATTTATACCATGTTACATAAGTAGGAATTGGACCACTTACAAGACTTGCTGGTACATCTCATGCCGAACATGCCTCACCGCCTCGGCATCAAGAGCCTCCCAGTCCTCGATCAGCCATGAGAGATGGCTCCAGTATTTGGCCTGATACTTGTTTGTGCAGAACTGGTGTGCTTGGTCTAACTTTCCCGCAGACCAAAAATCCTTTGCCTACATTCGGTTTTTCGCAGTTGGAGTCCTTCTCACGCTCTACACTTCTTTTTCCCGAGCTATAGTGCTTTATGCTTCTGTGATATACGGGGCGATGTTTATTGTGACTGAGGCCCTGGGGAAGCTCTCGAATAGAACCAGCTCTTCACAAGGCTCGACATCTCCCATCTCCGCCAATATCACGCTTAGTGATGTGCGGGCCGGGCCTCAAAGCCCACGAGCCCGCCAAGCCCGGTCCAAAAAGCCTGACCAGAGCCAAGCCTGGCAGCAGGATCAAACATCAGGGAACACCCAAAGGTACGGAAACAGGGCACTTGTACGGAAGCTGTGTAGAATGCGTACCGTGGGTACCACTCTCCACAGGACTGTGTAGGACTGCGTACACATCAGCACTTCCAATTAATGCTTAAATCACGCATCTTCATCACAGCCTGGCTGTTAAGAGTCATATACAATTTGCTCATTGAACACGGTTGTATGCGGGTGCTATACTGGATCATGTCAATGAGGCTTGAAAGACAGGGAGTATACAGGTTTACAAGCAGCGGAGGTGCAATCAAACAGACACAAGACGTGTTGCAAGGAGAGTGAGACATAGATGAGACATATGGTCATGCATATGGGCGAGCGCGGCCAAACTTCGGCACAGTATCATCAGGCGCTTAATCCCTGCCCTGAATAAAAATGGCACTATCTTGCATGATGTGTTTCCCTCTCTTTGTTTTCCCCCTTCTCCTCGATCCACAGCTCATTGAAAGCGGAACGAGTAAGCTTATATCCACGTCCTCAAACTTTAGATACTGATATTCCACAGAACCATCAGCACTCCTTCCAATGCGGGTGGGAGCGCAATGTTAGGCACAAGTGGGTCACGCGCTGCGGGCTGTGCCCTGCTCTTACATATCTTGACAGTCACCGCGCACAGATTGCGCTTGAACACGTTATCGAGCGCATGCATCATCTCTGGCAGGGCGAGCATGGCCACAAGGGCCTGCGGCTCTACGTCACCTACACGGAATGCACCCGGAGCCGCTCGCACATGTCCATCACACGCTAGCTTCAACTTATTGTGACGGGTGCGTCACTGTACATGTATCGACAGGAGCAGCAGGATGACGGGTGGGTGCATGCCCAAAACTGTCAGCCACGTGGGCATGTGCTGCAGGCATGCATGTCTATATGTAGTACACTCTTATCTGTCTTGATGAGTGCAATGTAGACTGACGTGGCTGAACTTCCGATGCTCATGCATGCGCTGCAGAAGCAGCTCTTCATCAATGTACACAACACCAGCCCCGAGTTTCACACCGCCTTTGACCCAATGCCCATTCCCAAACTTGCATTTTTACTCACATGCGTAAGCCTCGTTTTGTTTCGTGCCACGCGACTTGCTCAGACCCGACTGCGTTGTAACGGGCGGTGAGAAAAGTGATCAAGCTTACCGGCATCCGCAAAGCGAAGGCTCAGGTACAGACACTTTGATCTAGGGAGGCCAGGCCCCCAGACACCTCCCTCGGCGGGATAGTATAGTGTACCTGACAGCACCAAAATAAGAGTAAAGGAAAAGAAGAAGACAACATATACGCTCCTTGGAAAGCTCAAGCGAAGTGGAAGATTAATGATCCAAAGGAATGAATTGTGGGTAGCCAGATCCACGATAAACGAGCGGATGTATACAAAGCACAAGCCGATCTGGAGGAAAACGCTCGGAAAGGCACAGCGAGCACACTGGCTAAGGTCACTAATCAATTCCTAGATGACTCGTACTAAAAATATTACGGACGCATTGAGACTGACTAGTCCACGTCCTGGGACAATCTTGACACGCTGCGATAAAATTGCCCTCGCTTCACGGCCCCCGCCCACAGGTTGCGCATGTCGGAGATAAACTTCGACTCACGACTGCTTGGTTTCTCTGCCATCGACCTCATTAGCGGCGTAGGAGCGACAATTTTCTCAGTGGCCTACCAGATCCCAGCTGCCCTTGCGCGCTTGTGGCCGGTTGTGGACTGCCGGACAATGTGCGCATCGTATTTTCGGAATTGGGGTCTATCTCCAAGTGTATCGATGCCGTGATGCGCGTAGACGATGTCTGAGTAGGGGCGTGAGGTTCAAAAACCAAACAGCATATCGACAATGCTACTGACCAAAACTCTTTCACTGAGGTCATTGCACTGTAGCTCGAACAGATCGACTTGCTCTTTGAACTCCAGGGCTTTCGTGTACCAGGAGGGAAAGTTTTCCTTCTTAATAGCCAGCCACTTTAGATCCAAAAGTTTCAGATTAGTCTTCGCCCTACGGAATAGCATCAGTAAAACAGAAGCAATGAGGCTCGTCCAACTTACTTATCCAAGAGCTTCTGGAGAATCGCCGGAGAATCGGCTTCAAGGTGTATGCACCATAGATCTTGCTCGTACGGGGCCGAGAACTTCAGAAGGAGCGCGTTGACCGCATCGTCTATGTTATTCTTCACCTCCGCCAATAGCTTCTTGAGCCAGGCCATGAGGTCCTCCAATTTGGCCCAGAGGCGAATAACATAGCGACGGATACCTTCCACCCCCGCAGCGCCCGCCAACGGAATTATAAGCAGGGGATGTACCTGTGCAGTAAGGAGTGTTGTGCTAGAGCTCGGCGCGAGAGTCAGGTCGAACAGTGGCATGCTGGGTTGCTATGTCGTGGGTGAGGAAACGGTCGGTTCAACGGGTCGGCAGAGAGAAGTGCCAGCACTTCGAGAAGGAGGGAATTGAGAGACGGGGGCTGGGGCAATCTAAAACCTCGAGCGAAGCTTTATAACAGCCAGAAATCCTGTGCAACATCCTGTGGGGTTCGATCTACACTGTACGGAGTCCTTGGAGTGTTGAGAAGTAAAGCTGGAAATAGAGGGTTAGAGGTGTAGAATGTGACGGTAAGCCTCCCAGAAATGGCAAGCTATCCGAAAACGATGTCTCGAGGGCCAAATGTGACACAGATAAATTCTAGCATAGGACGATCCGAGAGGCATCCGGCCGGAGGAATTGCGGTGGTAGGTCCTCGTGGGATTATGTAATGGAGAAATATTACATAAACGCACATAACAAAGTCTCGCGCGCGGCTTGATGCAATCTATCACTGCCCACGACCCGGTCTGCGACACGCAGTGTGCCACCACCATGGCCGACACCGATCCCTCCGCAACGTATACATTCATCAGACAGCAGTTTGCTCAACAGGGTGCAGAGCTTCAGAAATGGGAGAAACAGTGGGTCCAGAAACAGCCGTTCCTGGCGTCGCGCGGGTATACTCTCCGCCCAAGATACCATCCCGGCTGGAGGCCATCTTGGGAGCGGAATCTCGAGCTGGATCCTCCCAACTGCGAGGATTTCTGGAGGCTCCCGGTGAGTTTATATCATGATACTGCAAATTTCTCCCTTCGTTGACGCGTATTCTCCTAGTACTTCCCCACTATAGTCGACGCGACGCGGACTACGGATGGACGCCTGGTGTGTATCAAGCGCGTCAACTCGTATGCGCAAGAACTCTCTATCGCCAATTACTTCTCGACAAGGCCTCTTCGCGAAGATCCCCGGAATCACGCGGTTCCCATCGTCGACAGTTTCAAAGACGATGAGGTCGATGAATACTCCTACATTGTCATGCCGTTTCTTAGAAAGATGAACGACCCTCCATTCGATCTGGTGAACGACGTTCTGGATTTTGCAGACCAAGTTTTAGAGGTGAGAGTAATTGCTGTACCGCTGTCTTGGCTGACAAGGCCACTAGGGACTCGCGTTCATGCACTCGCACGACGTCGCCCACAGGTCAGCTGACCCGCGCCTTACATACACCTGTTGTTGACCAAGACTCAGAGATGCCGCACCGACCAATATTCTAATGGATGCGGACCCGCTGTACCCACAAGGCTTTCATCCAGTTCAACGAAACCGGTTGCCCAACTTCACATCGAAGGCGTGGCCGTATTCTCGGTTTGGTGCGCCCGCTGGTGTTAGGTATTATTTTGCAGACTTTGGACTCTCTGTCCGCATCTGGCCCCGTGACGAGCCAAGATTCGTCCGTGGTCACATCGGTGCTGACCGCGATGCTCCCGAGCTTTCGGACACCGTCCCGTACGACCCCTTCAAAGTGGACGTTTTCGTCCTTGGCAACGTGTTCCGTAAACAAATACATGACGTACGTTCCTATGGTACGTTATGTTTTGATCACATCTAACTGAGCATGCAGAAATACTTCCGGGTGGGATTCCTCGGACCGCTTATCAAGGCTATGACGCAGCAGAGTCCCGACGATCGACCCACTGCAGAGGAGGCACTCGAGCAGTGGCGAAAGATTCGCCAGCGTGTTCTAGGGATACAGCGCCTGTGCCGCCTGCGCGGCCGCGAGGAGGCTCTCGCACGGGCGATCGTCCTCGACGTCGTCTCCGTCATTAAAGTGGCGTACATCCTGGCCAAACGCTTTTCGGGCTGGTCCCTGAGCTGGCTCTCCTTGATATTTTGTTGAGGCGGGTACTGTACTTTTACGACCGTATCGGATGTCACACGTCACACCGCTTTTCCGCGGACACCGCCAATAATATTCTCTCGATTTATGGCAATTTTGGCGAAGACACCGAGAGCCATGCCGGCACAGGCTAGATACTGTACTTTTACGACCATACCGGATGAAAGTGCCCAAAATGAGTTTTTACGACAACTCGGCGGTTCCTCACGCTTTATTTCTCAAGTGCTGCTTGGAAATTATGTTATGTGTGGTGTCACAGTGTCTGTTGTACTTCGAACGTCGTGCGCACAGTCAGATCGTTTTGCAGTCACGCTCAGCCAGTTGATGTGCGTGTGGAATATGTCTCTGAGGCGTCGATATCTGTTTTCGGTGTTCTTGTTATTGATAGCAGGGCGCGCCGCGAATAGCGGGCTTCTCGAGTTTGCGCCGCATGTTCCCCGCCGTTCGATCAGAGAACCGTACCAGAAGCCGCCTCCCACCAGCCAGGACGACGGACCCTTTGAATCTGCCAGACGGCCGAGCGCACTGGCACACGGCGCGAAGACAATTGCACGCTGCAATCTAATACACGCACCGCGCATATGCTCAATCGACGAATGATACCTAACGCGGTGTATCAGCGCCCGGAATCGGGCTTGCATGCACGCCCGCGAGAGACAATAAGCTGTTGCAGAGGGCGCTTTTCCAGCGCATGATGGAGGTGATGAAGCGTCAGGGTAGTGGAACGATTCATCTCACAGGGGTCAGCGCGCACGCGGGCAGGCACGCTGGTGTCTGATACCAGGGTCTCGGTGAGAACTATCGCGCTGCGGAGGCAATTAGTAGCATCCCGTGGCCCTGCTTTGCGACAATCGTTAGACTTCGTGCGCCTCGCCGAGTATGAAGCTGAATGGGACATGGCATGAGCCGTCCCGAGGCCTTCCGTGACGGTCAGACCATGTATACTATAAATATGCACGGCAACGTGGACATGCCGCGGTGGTCTTCAGATGGATGGGTCATGAGCGTGTGAGCGTTTGAACTCTCAAATGATCTGCGTTGTTCGACAATAGATGTGCTAGGGTACGCCGGGCGGACCGGTGGACTTTTCGTGCCAGCGACGACCTTGTTCTCTGCGTCTGTTGCGTCCGTCTACCAGCACCGTGACGTCGGCAAACGGCTCCGCAATATCACGGTTTATCCTTGTATTTTACCGTGGGACGCATTTAGAATGACGGCGAACCCTAACAGCGACGGTGCCAAACCAGCTGGACGTGACGGTAGTTCGAGTATGCGGTCGTTTCGCACGTAGATACTGACATAGATGTTGCTCGTGCTCGTGCAGCTTGCACAGAATGATTCTTCTTGCCTAATGGCATCCCACTTCCATGCCAACTCCTCAAATGCCCTATCACGTATAGGAACGATTGTCGCAAAACGGATAGAACAGTATTCTCCCTAGCTATTCTCAAGCGTCTTCGGGGCCGGTGCGGTGGTCTTGGGAACTCCTAGAGTTATTGCATAGGGGGCAAAGCCCTCGCTTAGACTTACCAAAACCAAATAACTTGCTACGGATGAGCATCCATACGATCGTGAAATGGGAGCCGCAGCCCACTTCCACATCTCGATGAACCTGCTAGCCATTGCTCTTGCCATACTCCTCTACGGATGTCAGCACCTTCCCTCAATACGAAGCCTGTCTACGTACCGAACCAATGTTACTCATATTACGCATAAAACGCTCGTGAATCTTCGCATTACTACACTGCGTCCAATTGCCCATACGGCGATTGTGGTCAAAGGGGGGCGAAGCAGGTGCCAGGTTCGCTGTCCGGGCTACAAGCGCCTGGGATTCGCTTATGTAATGTACACACAAACAAACAATATCATAAACAATTCCCAACAATCCGGGTCCAGGTGATCGGCAAACGGTTCCCGTCGTGCGGCGGGCTGCTTTACTCTATTTCGACGGTCCTGATCCTGGGCTGGTCTGCTTTTCATCAGATTCTCCTTGTCAATACAACGTACACAGTCGTTGACGATCGCGCATTAGGCTGCCAGCTGCCATTTGTTTTGCCGACCTTCGAGCCTCGTTACTGGCTCACGCAGATTCTTGTTGTAAATCGTCTGGCAATACGACATTAGCAGACCACCTGTCATCAGACCAAGGTGACATCCATCCGTGTTTGCTAGTATACGGCACACGAAGTGGACCGCGTACCTCAACCACCAGCAAATCTTAGCCCTGTCGCCCAATTGTTGGACTCGCCACCATCCAACAGAGAGCACGAAGAGATTTCGTAGTCTCGGACCTCAAGGCCATTCCAGTGACCGAAACAGGCGACCTGTGGCGGCATCTCCGGGATGCTGGACGAGGCCACCCTTGAGGTCAACACAAAAAAAGCGTCGTGCGCGGGGTAGGCGCTTCATTTGATGATGGCAATGATAAGATATGAAACAAAGCGAGGGCGGACTGTCCGGGGGCCTGACCTCCGGTATCGTGTCAAAGCGACTGTGTTGCTTCGCTCTCGGCGTGACGGGTTCTGCCTTTCTCCTGCCGGTGACGACCAAGTGTTCACAATGAGATCCCTTTGGCTGCATCTTGCTACTCTCTCGTATCCCGCTATGTCTGCTGTTTGCTACCGTGATGAAGACAAGGAGCAGTTCCCACCATCAATGAGGCCTTGGAGGAGAAGTTCTCGGGTTTCCTGCCGCACTGGAGACATTTTCGCCTGCCTCCCATTCCAGGCCAGAAGCCTCGACAAAATACAAAGAAAGCAACCGTCCAATTCTCAGAGACGCTGTGCATCGCCTATCCTGGGTATCGGCGATGAACAAGGGCTACCACCCTCGCTTTAGGCTGTTGACCCGTCGCCAGAAGCTTTCTGCGTGCATCGCGGTTGCCATGCGCTGAAGTCATTGTACTCTCCAGCTCGGGTAGGCTCATCGCTGTCGCTTTAGGACTATCTCTATCTTGACACACTCTGAGCACAGAAAGACCTCCTTTGCGGCATGCCCGGTTACCATAGTCAAGGCCTTCAAGTGTCCCATTGTTGCTTTGATAATATACCCGTACTGGCGAAGTTGAACTACGCCACAACTCTGTCATTCCTTTCTGCGTATACACAAACCCACTAGACACTGTCTATCTGCTTTCCCATGCCCTCCAATACTACTGGTGGTAGCACGTTAGTAGCGGTCTCTCGTGAGTACAGCACATTCCCTTTGCTCCATGCGTCGCAAGTGACACCTGTCAGAGCTACACGCACGATTGCACAAAGAAGGCAGCTACTCGATCCAAATTATTCTCAGCGGACGTCGCGGCAGCAAAGTACCACCAGCTCCTATCTCGTTTAGCCGGACAGAGAAGACGTCCAAGCCGGTCTGGCACCCTCCAAAGAGGTCAATGTGAGCTGCGAGCAAAGCGAGTTTATTTCAACGTTCTCACCAGACCTCAGAGCACTCCAGGCGGGAGCCTACTCTTTTACGATCCAGATACTCTGCCATTCATCCGGTAAAAAAGGCGAGTTCATCGGAGAAGTACGGGCGCTATTGCACCAGCTTTCTTCCAGTATGCTTGAGCCTCGTCTCGCATGGTCCCCTTCTGACACATGGCGACAGAACAGCCGACAGAGTTCAAGGTAGCGGCGCCACGTAGCCCGAATGTGATTGGAGTCGTCACGCTGCTCCTGCGCCCTTACATCCCTCCAGTTCGAGGCGGAGTGAATTTCACGCTATACAAACAGTACCAAGACCGCTCTGCCCTCGTGTCATCTTTGGTCAATGTCTTCCAAGACCTGCAATTTGTGGAGAAGTCCCTCGGAGCTCAGTATGCCGCCATAGTACGAGCAGCGTTTTCTATGGTTGTATGATGCGCCTTACGTTCGACGCCAGGGCATTGGAAGTGCGTATGCCTACGCTACGCTATCCTACCTTCTACACGACTATACCACTAGTCCAGACTGGAAGCGCGTCCCAGACGACAATCCCATCTGGGACTTGGCACGTCAAGTTGCGCTGCAACTGCATCATTTCGCAATCCACTACTGGCACGATCCGCGAACCCACATGGCAGACGCGTCCTCGCTCGCCGAAGAGTTTCTGCCGCGCGTCGCCCAATCTTTGGCACTCGTTCTCGGATTTGTGAACTGCTACAAATGTACGTCCGCGGCGGTTCAGTTGTTCGATTGTCGCACTCACTGTCTGCCGCAGTAACGGGATACACGTTTATCGAGACCCTGTCGCAAACGTTTGGACGTGCGTTTCAGACGCTGCTCTTTCAGCTCCTCGTCCTTGGCGCAAAAATGCGTGGAATATTCCCCTGCGAGCCGCGCGCCCTCATGTCTATCCCGGAGAACGACTTCTTACTCGAACTTGCACGCAAGTACGCGAAGGAGTTCGCCCGGGTGCGTGTGCCTAGCGGCCCTTGGATTGAGTTCATGGGATGCATGTACGGGCGCGTCGCGGTTCGGATCCTCGATGTGTACAAGACGGTACGTCTTCGCTCCACTCTTTTTGGCTTCTTCTGTAATTATCCAGTTGGCGAACTTCCAGGTCATCGACGAGACAGGCCACCGCCCACAGGACGCGGACTTTAGAAATGCCGCCCGCCGGCTGATGACGACGCTCGCACGGGACTCGCGGATGCTCCCGTCGGGCCTGTATATCGACGCTAGGGACATCAGACTCGCTCCTCCAGACCCGTATGCGACCGCTGCTGTTAACCACGCGATGAGGGTTGTGCGCGGGAAGGACAATGGCTCGTCCGCGATCGTATCATTCGGGCACATGTACTGTCAGAGGAGGAGAAGACACATTGAGGTGGCGATAAAAAGTATCACGAAGTCTTTGAATGACAGCAACATCGA